GTAAACTTCCAGTTGGGCTCTGCCTTGTGAATCGGTAGAGATTCTATGGCAAGAATGCAATCAAACTTTGGGCCTTTGTGCCAAATCTTCATGAGAAGAAGTTTCCACCATTGAATAAACCATTGCCATATGTGAAAGAGTGGGTCTATGCCAAATTAGCTGATCTTAGCTGGGCTATTTATGGAAGGCACTACAATTGCCAGTAGCATGTCTGGGATGGATAGACTGAGGTACGTCAGTATCATTGCCATTTCTCATTGTTGTAAACAGAGCATGGATACATGCTGTTTAACAACTAGATCAATTCCCCCACTGTAATGCTTTCATAAGTGCATTGCCTGTTGCTGGTCACTCGCCACGGTGAAGAAAGAAACACTGACATTCCTGTTGGAGGCTTCCATCACCTTAGGACATACCACAGCACTTATAGCTGATAATTAAGCGCAGTCAGTGTTGCAATGTGGAAAAACAAAAGTCAACTTACACACAGCAATCTCCTGCAAAACGGAATGAGCTGAAGGCCAGTTAATGGGCCAGATTCCGTGGGCATAGAGGGGTCTGTGTGTGGGGTGAAGGAGAGGCAGCTTGATGGCACACTGTTGGCAACTTCATAACCTCCTAGCATACAGAATACTGAGTTTAGCAAGGAAACTCCAAAATCATTAACCTACCTCAGGAATGACCTTAAACAACCCTCACCCTGTCCAAATACAGGGCCAAGGTGGCAGAAACCCCCTGAGGTGCCAGCCACTGGCAACCAAAGCAAAGACCACATACATGCCCCCATTTTTCATTTGGTGGGTGAAGATATTTTTAAAAGTGACTTTATTTTAGTGTTTTTGGAGGCGATGTCCACAAAATGCTTAAATGTGACTTGCTGCTTGGACACCATTACTGGTGCTCCCAATCTGACAATCCCATATAAAGAATGCTGGGATACCACTATACACTGACAAAGGTGAAGGTGTCACCAGGGAGACCACTAGGCTTCCATCATGGCCAGCAGCGAGTTCAGTGGACCGTCAGGTTTTGCTCAAGTTTGTTGAGGGATATGCATTGGCCAAGACATCCCTGCTCTTCAAGGAACTGTAAACCTGCACCCCAAGGTCTCTTTGTTTGGCAACACTTCCAAAGACCCTATCATTAACTGTACAAATCCTGCCCTAATTTGCCTTGCCAAAATGCAACATCTCACATTTATCTAAATTAAACTCCATCTGCCACTTCTCAGACCATCGGCACATCTGATCATTCTTGAGAGATTCAACCACAAATGTTTAATTTTCATGATTCCTTTCAAAAAACAGTTACATAGAAATGATTCACTTTGGACAAAGGGAAGAATGCAACATGCTTTTTCCTCTAGCTGAAAATGTAGCCCAGGTTAATGGGCTGAAACGCTCTTCTCTTCAATAGTAGTTAAGGGTTTGTATTAGCATCGACAATCTCCACCTGGGTTTGAGTGGGCATGGCCCACAATGCAATGTGCCAATCAGTTTGACACCCTTACCCAGAAACACCAAAGACCTTTGTGGTGTGGAATATTATCTGTTTACCAAGCACAACAAAAGCAGATATGATTAATTTTCATTTAATATAAGTGTTATACATTGCATACAGAGACATTTTTCTGCCCACCTCTCTTTCCAAAAGATCCCCAAGTGATGGCATGTTTAGTTCTTATTGAAGGTACATGATGGGGATGATGTGGGAGTGTTTCTAGGATGAATTTGATCTGGGGCACTGGTACAAAACAAGTCATAACTCATCAGCAGCAAAGGTTTAGAGGGATTTGGGTCAAACACAGGCAAGTGGGACTAGTTCAGTTTAAGAAACCTGGTCGGCATGGACGAGTTGGGCCAAAGGGGCTGTTTCTGTGCTGTATAACTCTATGAAAATAACTCCACACAGGCCAGTATCCCATCACCAAGTCGCCCTTTATTTACACGTGCGTAGTATTTGACACTGGTCCAGCTCCGTCAGAGCCAGCTCTCAAAGTGAGTAGAACCTCTGACACTGCTGTTTATAATTTTCAGCCAGAGCTCCCTGACTGGACCAGGTTAACAGCCCCAATCAGGGAACTCATATTCAATGAGGTCCACCTGGCTGACCTCATTACAATCATTGCACTATGTCTCTACAACCTCCCCAGATTTTGAATCGATTGACTGATGGAGCAGAGTGAACTGGGAATGGGTTCAGAAAATGATTTGATGAAGGAGCTAACGTAACCCAAAGCTGCTTCAATTTAGCCACTGACTCCAATTGGTTGTGTGCGCATTCGTTTGGATTTTTCATCTGTTAGATTTAGTAATGTACAGATCCCAACTGCACTCACTTTTGAGTCAAAACAATTAAGGCATTTACAGCAATAGTATAATAAATATAATGTTAAAATTAATAATTATTGTTTCATTTCTCCATTTAAAAACCTCATTGATAACCAGGCTCGCTTTGTAAGGGAGGTGCTGATTGTAATGTTCACCATTCTTTTATTAAGTTAGATCTTAGTGAAATTGTATCCCCTGAGAGACAACACCTTCTTTATAAAGAATCTCCTGGGCTCCTCACTAACCGGAATTGCTATCACAACAGAACCCAAAGATGGCTGAGCTCAACATGTGGGCAACTACAGTGAAAACACTAAAGTGGAATAAATTGCATATTGCTAGCAAACAGAAAGTCAAAGGAAGCAAATACATATGTCAGATAAAAAATATGTTTGTGTTGTGTTTAATTAAGTCAGCAGCAAATGATATGTTCAATCATATAAAAAGACCGCATAATGTTACATATTGAACTAAAAGCCTTATTGCACAAAATGGCAGCTTAGGTTACTGAGGCAAGAACTCTGAAAAGCTGCTACATTCAATAATCACACAATGCTATAAAGTGGCTAGATGTTATCTTTTTGAGAACACTCTCATTTTTAGTTGAGAAAATCAATGACATGTGTGTAAGTGATAGACGTTGTGTGCTTAAAGCATCATCCTGTCACTCCTTGGGACCAGAAAGTTGCCCAGACTGATTAGGTGAAAATATCACACAGTCTGCTGGCTGGAAGAAGTTTGAAGTGGTATTTATCAGAGGTGATATGGCTGTCAACCATCAGCTGACAAGAGTCCCTTGTTACCTCTATCTGTCACATTAAGTTCAAATTAGGCATTTAACTGGGCAGCAGTGGGTCTTCCCTGGGACCAAAGACCCTGGGTGCCCTGCCAGCCGAAAGCTGCCAACCAATCAGAGACCAGTAACTCAGCAGTGCCACTCAGGAACTGGTGGCTGCTGCCAGTACTGCACCCGCCCAAAGACCATGATCATTGATGGGCCCCAAGGCCAGGTGAGTGATGGAGAGAGAGGTGTTGTGGGCCAGGCCAGCAGCAAGCTAGGATGGAGGATGACTCTCAGTCGGCCTCCTACCCCAATTCCCGAAACCCACTTCCTCTTCAGGCACAGAATGCCTTTGAATCCATGTCCAAAACCTATCCCCACCTCTTTTCCATGCCCCTTTCACCCACCAGAAGCTGCAAGCAAGTCACAAGCACCCCCCCAACACACCCTCCACTGGAGGCATACCATTGGGGGATGAGGCCTTAAGTGGACACCAATTGCTTTCCTCCAATTAAATGCCCCACTATCACCAGGCTTGCTACTGGCATGGGCAGTGACCTTTGGAGTGAATCATCCTTCAACAGCTGTAGACGTGTGTCCGCAGGCTGAACAAAAGCGTCCACACAAACCTGATGCTCTCAACCTAAAAAAAGCCACAGCAACAGTTGTTTGGAAGAGAATTTCTCCTGCGGTTGTCACTAGGGCTGGGCCTGAACTTTCCCAGTTCCATTTTGAAAGGGAGGGAACAGCAAGACAAGAAAACTGAGGGGACGGCCCGCCAACACATTCCCTGCAAACTTTGAGGGGCAGGGAGGGGGTAAAATAGGTTGCATATTCCAGATTGTTAAGGTCTGAACTAGGGGGACTTGAGGGTGAGGGCATTTGCTGGCATTTTCTGCCATTGGCAAAGTAGCTACTTCATGGAGGTGCCCTCTCTATGGCAGGCTATGCTGCCACCAGTATGCAAGCCTCCAAATGCCAAAGAGGAGGTGACCACACCTGCAGCCCAAAGAACCACCCAGAGCGTGGTTCGTGGGTTGAATGGCCTTGCACCGCAGAATGTATCTCTCTGAAGGCAGTTCTGGGTCGAGGTGCCCTTGTGGTCCCTATCTTTCCCAATGGGTCTGATAGAAGCTCCACCGCTGCCAGGGTTAGCAGCACCAGGAGCCCAATCTCAATGGGATGGCGAGTGTTGCCAACTCGCCAGGCACCTCTGGGAAGATTGACACCAGTGGTGCGGTGCCTGCAATTGGGTCTTCAAGACCCCCGTTTGGTCCTGACAGCAGGATTCAGAATGCATTGCAAATTCCAGTTTATACAGACAGGGCAGTGCGGAGGAAATTCCACAGCGTGATTTTGCTCAGTCAGCCTTTGGAGTGTTTATCATGCAAAAACTGCGAAAAGCAGCACCAGCATGTGGCACTTGGAGTGCAGAAAAGTGACATGATTCATATAATGTGCTCCCCTTGAAAAAGACAATAAGCCAATGGAGATCTAGTGGATTATTTCCTGAATCTCAAACAAAATTAGAAGACAAGTGCAGAAGTTAAATTTATAGTGAGGTCAGAAAGAGTAATGGACTTCACTTTGCAGTCAGCACATTACAGGAAGGACATAATTCAGGGGAGGCGATGGCCTGGTGGTATTATCACTGGACTGTTAATCCAGAGACCCAGGTAGTGTTCTGGGAACCCAGGTTAAAATCCCACCACCCTGATTTGAATTCAATAACAAAATAACTTGAAGTTAACAGCCTAATGCTGATTCTTGAGGAAGAACCCATCTGGTTCGCCAATGCCCTTCAGGGGAGGGGAAACTGCCATCCTTAGCTGGTCAAGGCCTACATGTGACTCCAGACCCACAGCCGTGTGGTTGACTCTTACCTGGGAAATTAGGGATGGGCAACAAATGCTGGCCGAGCCAGCGACACTCTCATCCCATGAGTGAATTAAAAAACAGAGGGAGGACAGAGGAGATTTACAAGATTGTTGCCAGAGCTGGCAAATGGCAGCTATGAGCAAAGACTGGACGGACTAGAGTTGCTTTCCTTAGGAGGCTGAGGGGTATTTTAGTTGATTGTACGTAATAATGAGGGACATGGATAAAGAAAGTTTGTTTCCTCTCCCGGAGAGGTCAATTCCCAGACAGCACAAGTTTGAAGGGGATTTTTCGAAGGATATGAGGGAAATCTTTTTTACCCAAAGTGTGGTAGGGGCCTGGAATTCACTGACCAGTTTGGTGTTTGTGCCTGAAACTCTCATCCCATTTAAAAGGACTATGGGTCTGTACCTGAAGCACTGTTACCTGGGAGGGCATGGACCAGGCACTGAGAAGTGGTTTAGAATGGGGGAGGAGGGCTGGTTTATTCAAATTATGCAGACCTGATGGGCTCTTTTTGCACCACGACTTTGATGTGGGTTCTACGGCTCACTTCAGGATCTCTCTGTGCAACAGCAAAGTACTGGACTGCCCTCGTCTCCCCCTCCTCTGCGCTCCTCAAAGTAAAGCCAATGCTGAGGATTGATGCTGAACCAAAAAGAGTGGAGGAAGGAAAAGAAAGTTCAGGGTTCACAGCAGACTGAAGATTGCAATCAATACTTCCAATCCTGTTAACCAGACCAGCCTTACACCAAGCAATTGGTCTTGTGGCTGGTATTGATATTGTTACAGGCTGAACCTATTGAATGATTTGGTCAACCCCAGCGTATGCAGGCATTATATTTTAAAAAAAGAAGATCATTTCAATTCCTCTAACCAGCACGCAGCCGTAATTAATTTGTCAACAGCGGGCCCATAGCTGTCTGAAAGATTATCCGATGCGTTCTGAAAAATGCATAATCCCCTTTTTTTCCGAAGGCTTCTGAAATTAAAAAGCGAGAGAGATCCATCTCCCAGACAGTGTTTGCTGGGCTGACTGCAAATCGGGGAGGGGCTGTCCATTGCCAAGGGTGGGGCTGGGGGTGGGGTTCATTCCCTAGGGTCACATGTTCTCAGTTTTCTCCGTGCTGGTATTTTGATACTCGTTAGGAGTGGCAGCCATTTTGGCTTTTTTCCTGCAAAAGGGATAAGAAAGAGAAACGATGAATATTGTTTGCTGTGCTCGTTCGAGGGGCACAGGACAAGCGAGACCGTCTGAAAATAATTGTGAATTTGAGGTTTCAGCGGAACACGCTGGTGGGCCGTCAGCATCTACGGAGAGAAACAGAGTTAACATTTTGCTTCAAATCACCTTCCATCACAACTGGGAATGGTTAGGACAGTGACAGGCTCTCAGCAAGTGTGGAGGCACGGAGAGGAGGAACGGACAATTAGGAGAGCTGAGATAGGGTTGGAGGCAGGAGCAGCTAAAGGGCGATATGCGAGAAGCAATGATGATGGGACAAGTAAAGAAATGAAGGTAGAGGAGCTGAAGAGTAAATAAAGCCGCCAAAAATAATATCCCTTACGATAGGAGAGGCAATGATGACCTTAAGTTGTCGAATTCAGTGTTGACCACAATTTCAAATGCATTTCTCTCTGGGGGTGGTGGTTGTACCCAAAGCCAATTGACTTCTATTGATATTTTATCAGTGGCATGGTTAGCAGTGGTGGACATTTTCTCATCCTTAAGCCAACTGCAGCTCCATTGTGGCCAATTAATAGCCACTTAATGGGGTCCCTTCCTGGTATTTTACATGTGGCCCATGGACACCACCTCACAGTCACCCCGTGGACTCATTGGAGGTGTCCCCGATGATGGAGCGCCCGCAATGATGGAGTGCCCCATGGCCCGCAGAGGCCAACACCAAGAGAAAGAGACACCTCCATTGGGAGACCACCCAATCCGTGTCACTAACTCTCCTGATGCCCCACTTACAGGAGCTTGCCTTTTTGGCACCAGTGAGCTCCAACCCTACTTAACTGCGCCCTGACCCCCCTCCACCATGCCTAGCCCAGGACGGCGGCAATCCCAGCACTGGCCACTGCTCCCAGTGGAGCTGTTGGGACAGTACGGCTGCCAGCCCTCTGGCTGGTCAGCATCTCTCACATTCTGCACTTTCTGTTTCAGCAGGGACAATGCCAGTGCCACAGGCATTTCACTGCTGGAACAACCTAAAATCAAGCTGTAGTTTCCATAACCAGCAGAGGCAGGTGTGTTCCTCCCGAGCCCCATCATCAACTTCCCAATCAATCACCACGGCCAGCACTTCCATGTAAAATCCACAATGTTAAGCCTGAAAACTGCAACACACCTCATCAATAAACATTGCCTTTTCATCTCCCACATTTCTGCGCCCACTTCTCACCCTTCCCACCAGAACCACAATACGGTTTCTCTGATCCTCTTTCTCTTCCTCGCCAGGCGACACAGAATCAGGGAACTGTTCCGGCGCAGGGAGAGGCTTTACAGCCTATTGTGTTTGCACTGGCACTCTGAGCATTTCAATTTCATCTCAGTCTCCTGCCCTTTTCCCATACCTCTGCACATTTCAGTGGAATTTAATCCTGAAAAGCATGAGGTGATGTGAAGACTTAGACAGGCTAGGAGAGTGGGTAAAGAAGTGGTGGATGGAATGCAATGCAGGAAAACGTCAGGTTATCACTTTGATAGGAAAAGTAGAGGCATAGATTATTTTCTAAAAGGGGAAAAGCTTTGGAAATCTGAAAACAAAGGGACTTCAGAGTCCCTCCAACTGAGAAAGCAATTTGCTTGTTCTATTTTCTATTTAGTAAACTGTATTTACTGCTGATAATGTGGCCTCGTCTACACTGGGGAAACTGGTCGCCTGTTGTCACTGAGCGTCTAGTTGCTTGTTGTTTAATCCTCTACCCCATTCCCACCTCTTTATTCTGCAACGGCCACTGAGCAGGAAGAATGCTCACACTACATTTATCTATGAAGATAAACAATCCTTGATGCAATAGGGAGGCAATTATATTTGCATCCTTGTTTTCAACGTCCTCCCCTCTCTCCTGTACGTAGGAACAGGCCTAGGTCATTTACCCCTTCGAGCCTGCAATAAGATCCTGATTGATCTAATTGTGACTTCAGCATCTTATTCCAGCCCACCCTGATAACATTTGACTGTCTTGTTAGTCAGGAATCTACTTAACAAGTAACTCCACTCCCCAACCCCCACCCCCATTCTGCCCCCACCCCCCCACCCCACAACGCCAACCCTATAACCGTTGAAGACCTCAACATGACTACAATTTTGTTCTCTTATACATTCCTGATTTCTGTCACACTATGTTGGCAGTTGGCCCTAGACTCCACAATTCCCACCCTAAACCTCAGCACCTCTGTACCTCTCTCATCTATGATGCTCCTTAAAATCGTTTTGCCTGCCCTAATACCTCCTTAGGTCGCTCCAAAAATCAAAAAAAAACTTTGACACCACCTCAGAATATTTTCTTACTTCTTGAGGTTTTTCAATCCTGAGCAAATGTTATGCCATGAACAAATTATGCCCTTGTGTCAACTTCCACCTTCATTGGGTTGATATCTCTGTTATGGACCAGATCAGAACCCCTCAAAAATATTTTAAGAAGGTAGACTGGACCGTAAATTTTTCTTATTTTAAAGGAAAATGTAAAATGTCTCAGATGAAATGGAGCTGGTCAAACTACTCAACATTAAGCAAAACATAATTTATATAAACACTGTAGTTAAAATACAAACATAGAATGAGGAATTTAGAATAACAACAGATTGGAAACTTAACAAAATAATAGATACAGTGGCTATTACTAATTAACTGTTTTAAGACAGTAATACCCCACAAATATACCCCTTGGCAAAAAGGAAACTTCAGACACAGATTCTCACATGCAGTTCTCCAATCTAGGAGGAAAAAACATCAAGAGAAGTTTCAGAGAAAGTAGCAGCTGAGAGGCATTCACTGAAGTTTCTAAATCTGTTCAGACACCAATATTTTCTGATGTTGCTGAAAACTGCATCTGTGAGAGCTGGTCTCACCCATTCAAGCTATTTAAAAAACCCAAGGCCTCCTAAGCTGTTTACTCAAGAGGTCTTCAGTAGCAAGTTCATTACCTCTGCCTTACAACCTTTCTTCAGAAACAACAACCCAGGACAAAATAACCTCTTAAAGTAACAACATCGTCATACGTCCATTAAAATGGTTGACAGAAGTAGCTGGTGTGGTTGGTTCTGTACTGCACCCCGTCATCATTCCCAAGCTTTAACATGGTGCTGGGTAAGTCCAGTTAATATAGGAGAGAAATGTGCTGGTTGAGCACAATCGTTTTATTCTCGTAGTTCATGTTAGGACATGGATGAGTCACCTGTGGAATTTTGGCTGCTTCTTGCTTGGTATTGCAGAACTTAAACTTTGCTAAAAAAAAACAAACATGAAGTTGAAGCTTTTCATCTTGCACTCATCAGGACTGAAACATGAGGAAATCAATTTTATAATGGAAATGATGATTTACACAGCATGAGAAAAGAGAGCTGATTTGTTAGAATATGGAGCAGGAGCTGTTAACTGTCAATCTTATTTACCCAGTTACATTCAAACTAAGCAATTTGAAACTGTTCAATCAGAATTTAATCAGTTACATAACAGTTAACAGCCACTGCTGGCCCTCAGAGCTAAACATAGTCCAACCAATCAACACCCTAAGCTGTATAAATTGCTGTTCCCCTTCTAAAGTTGGTTTCATCATGATGAGTGCAAGTTGGAAAGCTTCAACTGCCTATCTCTTTCTTGCCAATGTTCAAGTTGAACCGATCTAACTTACAACCTTTTTTTGGTTCAGAGAATGACAGGGAACTCCAACACCACACTCAACAGTCCCCAAATCACTGAGATAGCCACATAAACAGAGTGCTCCATCTATCGAGCACACAAACAGCGCAGGCTACCCACTCCCTCTTCTCACCCACTGACATAAGACACAAAAATAATAATGGCCCAGCCTGGCAGGAACTAATGTATAGTACAACTGAGTGTTAAAAATATTCCTGCCAGCCCAACAGCGGAGATGTGTTTCAAACGACTATCTGTTATCTCCATGTGATTAATTAACAACATTTCAGCAATCACAGAATTACAGCAAGGTTAGAAATGATAAATGTGATGATAGCGTATGATATTCTTTCATTTATTCCCCTTTGATTTATAGTACACACAAAAATATTACAGTCTGTTAAAGCATCTCTTAATGTAACACTCTGCTAACACAGCAGACAGCCTTCCTAATGGCCTCATGATTAAAGGATGACACTGACTGTAAAAACAATGATGTCTCAGGTTCAATTCACAGTCATGCATTAGCTTTGTTCTTACTGACCTGGAGAAGATGGTGAGGGGTGAGATCCCACTCTAGCTTGCCATCCAGTGACTTCAGCAGAAAGTACACACATGGACATCACAGGAGGTCAGGGACAGGTTGGGCTGTGATGCCCCAATGGTTAAATAGCACATAGAACGTTGTTTTTAAACTCACATATGAAGATTGCCGGATAGCATAAGGCAGAGTGGGGCAGTCTATATGAACTCCAAAACAAATCAATGCCAGCAAGAGGTATAAAATCCTCTCTCTGAATCACACTTGGCACTGAACCATGTTTTTGTAAAAATACCGAGTAGAGTGGAGACATGGTCGGACATCAGAAAAATGTCACTCTGAGAGTAAGAATGACAGAGTGGAAGGAAAACAGGGTGAGAATAAGCATGGGGTTGCTTTTATGTAATGCCATTCATAAAGTCAGGTTATCCCAAAATATTTTACAGCAATGAAGCACTTGGACACACTGTCTCATTTATAATGGGTAGTGCAGTCATTAATTTATGCACAGCAAGCTTCCGCAGACAGCAGCAGGATGGTTACCAGACAATTGATTTTAGAGATGTTGGTTAAGTAGGAAATATTGGACATAACACCAGGGAGAGTGCCCTTGATCCTTTTTGAATACTGTCATGGGATTCCTCGTTTCACAACTCATTTGAGAAATGATTCAGCAACACTTCAGCACTCCCTCAGTATTAGACTGGAATCTCAGGCATAGGACTAGGACCCAAGAATATCCTAATCAGAGACAGAAGTACCA